AATACAATGTATTTAAAATTAAAAATTAAAATTAAGCACATACTGCCTCTTTAAGTAAACCAGTCCTAGTTGGTGCACGACTCATTCCGAGCAAAATAGCAAGTCTATGTTGTTTATTTTTATTATCATCAATTTCAAGTAAACGAGTCTTAGAATTAGTGATAACAGGAATGGCAAGAACAGATAATAAAACAAAAGAAGCCATTCTGGTATTTTCTTCATCAGACAACGATTTATTTTGAGTTTTTACCAATGTATAATAGCAATTCCATGCAGCAGCATGGAATAAATAATTTTCACCAACTAAAAAGATTTTTGTAAGTTTATCATAATAATTGGCCATCATCATTGGTTTTGGAGATCCTTTTGATAATGACAATAGATTATGAATATCCTCAACGGATCTAAAAGCTTCTTGCCATAATTCCAATTCAACAGCTGCATTAAGCTGATAAAATCTTGTATCAAGATGGCGTTTTAAGGTTTCTGGTTCGTTCAAATTAATCAAGTTAGTTTGATTTGGATATTTTGCTATGTTTTGAAGATGGTTGCGAAGAAGTTCACAAAGACGTCGAAATTCTGTTTTACGAGTATACTTTAAACAAAATTGAAATGCTTGATGTGCTGTTTGCTATATAAAGAAAATCATAACAATAATTATAGTAATGGCAATATTAATGTAAATTATAAATAATAAAAAATATGCTTTACTTAAGTGAAACAAAGGGAAGTATGATAACATACTTGATAAAAGACTTCTAATCGAACATTATTTCTTAGAAAATCTAAAGCTGTTCTATATGCTTCCCATAAAAATTTAAGCCAGGGTGTAACCACGGCTCTATCGGTTCTGTCTTTACTTTGTTCACCACTAACTGTACTTAACATAATTGATTCTGGAGTCTCAGATGCCTCAAGATCATCGACGGTTTCCAAAGTGATTTGATCAGCTTTTGCTTGTGCAGTAGTTACTTTTTCTTCAGCGAGTTCAAGAAATCTTTTAATGACAAGCTAATCAATAGATAGAATATTAATCAATGAAAATTAATAATTCAAAAGGAAAAAATATCCGCTCCCAAAAGTAGTTACATTCCACCTGCACTTCGTAAGCAATTAGAATCTACATCACAATCACCAATTAAATCACAGGGTAGAGTAGCATCAGGTCGTGGTGCCAATATCGAAGAACCACAACGCCGTCGTACTGAAGAAACAACATGGCGAAGGGGTGAGACAGTTCGTAGCAATACAATTGATACCGATACACTCCGAACTGAGCCAGGAATAATACGTAAGCCAGATCCACATAGATCAACTGATGACGGTTCTTGGCGTAGTAGACAAGATTCAAGCCGTGGTTCTGAGCGTAAAACAGGTACAAGTCGTGGTACTGATGACGGTTCTTGGCGTAGCAGACAAGATTCAGGTGCTGCTGATGATGGTCCATGGCGTAGATCAAATTCAGGCCGTACAGCAGATGAACATAATAAAGCTTCACACGCTACAACAAAAGATGACGATGATGATGATGGGTTTATTCCTGTAACTAAGAATAAACGTCGTATTAAATCTCAGACTGAATCATAATTATAAAAAACATTACTTTTTTTTACAAAAAATAAATAAATAAATAAATAAAATTTGTTTTTCATTTTTCACTTATCAAAAAATTATGCAATCAGTAATTAGTATA